TTTGTTAATTTTAATGTCTCCAAAATGAAACTGCTCTTTGTTAATCTTTTGGGAAAACCCTTCCTGGCTCACATCAATGTGGCTGATGGTAACCTCTAGGAGAGTCACTTACTGTGCTTTCTCCGGCTAACATCTTCCACTGAAATGAAGTTGAAAGATTATATTGGATCAATTGCTATCACTGTTGCTAGGAAAGTTGGTTCACTGTCATGCTAGACAAACTTTCTCGCCAGGATCTATCTTACATATTTATAAATCTTCCGTTTTCTTATAATCAGGCAACACCAAACAGTAACCCTCTACCATAATTGGCTCTTGGATCAATTCTATTACCATTCAGGGTTTTTTATATTTATTTTTTATTATTCGTTTGAGCTGGCTCGGACATTCATTAGTCTATGAGGTCAACTATTATAGTTCTTTATCAAGGTCAGATGGTTATTACGATAGCATCCTGTACCATTACATAGTTGATTAATATAGGTGGTGGCTGGGTGACCAACAGCATCTTACGCCATTGCTAGGTGTCCAGAGTAGTAGATCACACCAATTTTTTTCGTTGCTCGCCAGCAGTGTCCCTCGACCTGCCTTAACGTACGATTGTAGAAATATCAGGGATGGATACTTTTCTAATGCCCGTTTGTAGGAGAGACTTTGTAAATCACAGGTACTACAATAGTAATGCCTTCGAACAATACTCGGTCAATTCCCATATATATCATTTTTCCTTTACCCGTCACGTGATCTAATTATTAGATGAAGTTGACCGTGCTTGCTCTCTGGCGATCCATGTTCAAACCCAAATGTCGGCAGCGACACTTTATTCCTATATGACAGATACATAGAGCTGTGATTTAGTTGGGTGTTGTCAGCAAGAAATATTAAGTATATCTCTCAGGATTCGAGTGTAGGTTCCATCAGGCTTAGGCTCTAGAGTTTTAGTTAATGCCTAAGCAATGGTACCATACATTAAAACCGACTCTACAGTAGCGTGAAAGGAGCTCTGTTTGAAGTTGTCTGGTGGATCGGATTGCCAGATTACATCCATTTTATTCAAGGTGGCCCGGGCTTTAGATACGCTAATTTTCACATCCTTTGCAATAGAATTTATTTCGCTTACTAGCTTTTATCAGGTCATCCCATAAGTTCTGTCCGAATTTTAACTTTTTGTTAAAATGAACGAAATTTAAAGAGTATTTTATAATGTCTAATGGAGCTGAACATTGTTTTTATGTTTAGATGTATTTAAACTGATCAAATTTTATTTCAGAGAACAATAAAATTAAATTTTGTTTGATTAAAACCCTGCTAACATGGAAGTACCCAAGAATCATTTGAGGCACATAATGCTTTATGAGTTCAAGAAAGGAAACTCAGCAGCCGAAGCGGCTAGAAACATTCACTCGGTTTATGGAGAGGAATGTGTGAATGAAAGAACTTGCAGAAGATGGTTTGCAAAATTCAGAGGTGGAGATTTCACCCTTGAAGATGAAGATCGAACCGGACATCCAGTTGAGTTTGATGAAAAGCTTCTTGAAGCAGCCCTTGAAGAAAATCCTGCTTTATCAGTTGAGGAATTGGCAGTGGTTCTCAGTTCAAACCATACAACTGTTCATCGTCATCTTCAACAACTTGGAAAAATTCCTAAACTTGGAAAATAGGTGCTTCAGGAATTGTCTGAAAACAACTTCAAATCCCGTGTTGACATCTGCTCTTCTCTCCATTCTCGCCAACTTGTTTCACCGTTTTTGGATAGACTTGTGACTGGCGACGAAAAATGGATCTTTTATCGAAATGTTAAGCGTCGTAGACAGTGGCTTGGTAAAGGGGAGGGACCCCAGCCACAGCTAAGAACGGAACTTTATGGGCAAAAGGTTCTTCTTTCAATCTGGTGGGATCGCCAAGGAATAATCCACTTTGAATTCTTACCACCTAATGCAACAATTAATGCTCAAATATACTGTCAGCAATTAGAGCGTTTGAACCAAGCTTTGAAGAAAAAAGACCTGCTCTAGTAAATCAAAAAGAGGTGATGTTTCATCAGGACAATGCGCGACCCCACACAGCAAGAATCACGTCACAAAAGATCGAAGAACTTGGTTGGGAGAAAATTCATCATCCACCTTATTCTCCTGATCTTGCTCCTTCGGACTACCATTTGTTTCATAGCTTACAGAATCATTTGGAAGAAACAGCTTTTGTAACACTGGAAGAGATTAAAATTGACATTTGTGAGAATCAAAACCAAAAGAATTTTACAGTAATGGAATTAGTAAGCTTGTTAATAGATGTCATAGATAATGAGGGAAAATACATTGTTGATTGAATCTGTAATTAAATGTAATATTTACTTGTTTTCTTTATTCAAAATTCGGACAGAACTTATGGGGTGACCTGATATATCACCTTCACGGTGTATAATATGCATGCAGGCATTTAAACTGACCGAATTGTATTCAATCTATTCTCATTTCAGTAAAGTTTATTATACTCAAATATTCTCTTACTGTGACTTTAAAGCTTTTTTCATCCATTATATATTATTACAATCCTTTGTCATTCTATGAGCTAAATCGTTTATTTACAGTTACTATTATGTTACTAACAAAAAGGAATACCTCCTCATTTTGAATAGTTAGTTTATATCCGGAAAATGTCATACCTTTCTAGAGAGGGAAAAATAAATAAATAAAAATAAACAAATAATAACAAGGAAACCAAAATGTCACTATCTCTAAAAACAGATGTTTATTTAGAATCGCTAGGCCATGAAGTCATATTAACCAACCAGAAACCGTTCCCACCAGGATATGAGCATCATAGTTGAGTGAGCAAATCAGAAACAACAGCTACATTAAACCAGGATATAAGGTCACTGATAATGAGCCAACGAGACACAAAACAGCACTTTTGATATTAGATATGTATATTATGAGATAGAAAATCAACCAAAATCAGAATCAATGAATTAATTTTATCCATTCTTCAATGATGCAATCATTGTAATATGCCCAGAACAAGGAGAAGAAAGAGAATCAGGAAGGAAAATGATTGTCATTTTATAGATTTAATCAACGTCTCTTAACAGCAAAACCAAGTGGGGTAATCATATTTCTGGTTCCTTTACTCTTAGCATCATGGGAAAAATTATTTTTTTTAGTATTCATTATTATTATTTTATTTATTGAATTTATTCCTTTTTCCAATGATATCCTAATTGCCATTACTCACAGAATATATGAGGCCTTAAATAACATATTTCAAGGACGATCGCATTAGATATTTCAAAGATATTTGACAAGGTGTGGCACAAAGGGTTACTGTACAAGCTCTCTCGTTATAGAATCATTGGGAGAGTCTTCTCAATTATAAAGTAATTCCTAACGGGTAGGTCCCTGAAGATTGTTGTTAACGGTCAGTCATCCAAGGCCAAAGCAATCAATGCAAACATATTCCAAGATTCACCTCTCAGTTCAACACTCTTTCTACCTTACATAAATGATCTGCCGAACAGTATACTATGACCCTTTGTGAATATTTATGCTGATGATACTGTGAGGGCAGTCTAGCTGGATTGCAGGTAGAAAAATAAAATCTGAGTGTCATGTCCATAAATTAAAATAGAAAATGATAAACAACGCAAAGAAATGAGCTTCACAGAAAAGGAAGAAGACCGAGTTAAATATGACAATAACATTTATAAAGTAGATACAGATATTTACATATTAGAATTCTAATGTCTTTGTTGTGACCATGAAGAGACCAATAGTTCGAGTGTTCAAAGTGAATTATTGCAAGTGAGTCTTCAAAGTTCGAAATTATTTTATTGAAAGTGATTCTGCAAAGTTTGAAGTAATATGTACGCTATGTGTGTGTGTGTGAAGCACACGTTAATGAAACGTGTGTGACTGCTGATTGATTTCCTGTAATAGCAGTACTTTAAAACACAGCTAACAACGAGAGTTGAGACAATACTTACTTCGCCACGGTTTAGTATGCGGGGAAAATCATTACTGAATGAAACGTTATCATGTTAACGTGTGTAGAGACAGGACTGGTTCACTGACTGTTCCGTTTCAGATCTGGTCTGACAGTCCTGACTTTCACTGACGAGCCGTTTTTATTGCTATTGCACAACCGATGTCGGATCACGAATCTTATCTGTGTTTTTCGCAGCAACGTACTCTGTAATCCAAGCCCTGACTTATTTCCGGGTCATTTGGAGATCAACCGCGCGGACATCGTAGAGAGCACATCACGTGTCTTGTCATATCCAGTCAGGTTCCAGAAACTATTTATTTAATTTTGGAACCGTGTTTTGTACAGAAATGTAAAGTTTTTTTCGTATCTACTGATTTTAGTAAGATTTATTAGAAGACGTCTCTTAGTTGTTTGTGCTTCAGTTATTGATCATAAAATATAGTAGTTTATCCCATAATACAAAGACTTAACTCTAGCAGCTCAGTGGGGTTGGTGGGTGTCGCTAGCTGGTCACATTCAATGCCTCAAAATCAAACTAGTGGTTTTCCATTGTCGGAGTTAGCTCCTCCTCAGTTCCTTAATCCTTCACCAGGGGTCTCTCTCCCCTGGCTATAAATACTGGGTGACCCTTTGCCTCGATCTCTTTTTTTCCCTCAGGCCTTGGGCCTTATACCACCTCCCATATGTGAGCTCTCACAGATACAGCGTTTCCCAAATTCTCGGAACACGCTAAGAACAATAGACGTACGTACGAACACTCACCACAATACACACACACATAATAATATTCACCACACAAACTCAGTGTAACTGTCCATGTGCTTGTAACCTTTTGTCAATACATATATTTGTTTGTATATAGTTATCGGTCTTGTTTGTTTTCTTTGGGCTTAATTAAAGTCCAACATTCTCATGTAGCTGGACCGGCTAGCAGGAAATTTTGACCCACGTGTGTTCTTTACATCTTCACCGCCACAGTCGGCTAGACCGTCATTATCAATCAGATTCAGAACTTTCACAAATCGCGATGAATGGATGTTACCTCAGGCAGGCACTGGGCCTTGAATGCCTCTGGGAGGCACTGAGCCTTGAATGCCTCTCGGAGGCACTGGGCCTTGAATACCCCCGGGAGGCATTGGGCCTTGAATACCTCGGGGAGGCACTGGGCCTTGAATACCTCGGGGAGGCACTGGGCCTTAAATGCCCCTGGGAGGCACTGGGCCTTGAATACCCCCGGGAGGCACTGGGCCTTGAATACCCCCGGGAGGCACTGGGCCTTGAATGCCCCCGGAAGGCACTGAGCCTTGAATGCCCCCGGAAGGCACTGGGCCTTAAATGCCCCTTGGAGGCACTGGGCCTTGAATACCCCCGGGAGGTACTGGGCCTTAAATGCCCCTGGGAGGCATTGGGCCTTGAATGCCCCTGGGAGGCACTGGGCCTTGAATGCCCCCGGGAGGCACTGGACCTTGAATGCCCCCGGGGGGCACTGGGCCTTGAAGTAGAACTCATACATACGATCCATCGCTAAAGACGCCGGGAAAATGGTTGATTCTCTGTACCACTCCAGTAAGTACTTGATTCCTCCTACTATCCTCTACTTTTCCAAGAGACAGATCAGGCTGTAAATGGAGTACTGCTTCCATATATAAACAGGAGGTGCCCAGCCTTCAATTTTTAGTTTCGATAGAGTCTAAAATCGTCTCTGCATCTTTTATTTTCTATCTTGCAACCATTTTCTCACAGACGAAACAAAGCCTCTCACTACTCCATCGCTATTTCCATGGAAAGTGTTCAGACGAAATGCATTCCTTAATTCCACCATTTCTAACCTTCACGGCTAAGACACGCTATGCCACGCACACTGTAGCAAAATGTAAGCCCCACATAAGCAGCAGCTTCGTAGGAACTGTTGCTTTGTGGAACCAGTTCCCAAGAGGATGCTTTCCTGATCAGTACAATTTAATCTGTCCAAGGAATATCTTCTCCACATATCCGCATAAACTGCGCCACTTACTCTGCAACCTTTTACCTCGAGTAGCTCTTTGGCTTTTACACTAAAAAAATATAAACAAGCACACGTATACACAAATAGACACACGCAAACATAATGGGAAAAATATCAACCTCAAACCAATAACTAGTGCATAAGTTAATTTTTAACGTAATATAAAAATAACAAAAATTAGAAAATTTGCTGTCAATTGCTGAAACCTCATAACTAGTGGACAGAATGATTGCTAAACAGTTTGTCTACGAAACTCCAGAGTCGAGGTGTTGAATATAACATTAACCAGTTAAGTGACATATTTTATTTGCATTAATTAATCCTATATTGTGTTATATAGAAGGTATTTTTGAGCACATTAACACACTGTGCAATTCCTTTTAATCTTTACACCAGTGGCGTAGGTAGTGGGTGGAGGATGCAGTCCGCCTCGGGTGGCACTTTTGGTCCGCGGTGAGTTTTCAGAAAAGAAAAAAAAAATAGTATAATTTCAATAACTTTTGAAAAAAAAAAAAAACAAACAAAAAAAAAAAACAGCGATAAGGAAGGAGTTTGTCTTTGATATGGCTGGCTCAAATCCAGCCAGCCAGCAATAAAAAAAAAAAATTGTCTCCAAAACGCGCTGCCAGCTGATGGGAAAATAAAACTTACAAGACATGAGCAAAAGGTGTGAATAAATTTGAACATTTTTAAAGGGCTTGACGTGGGGTTGGATTAAGTGAATTTAGTGAATCCAGTTTTTTTACACCTTATGTGAGAAGTCCAGACTTTGGCATCAGTTCTTTGATTTTGATTTTTCATGTCTGTGAACTGTTAGTGAAAAAAATTAAATGAAGAAGTGAAGTAATTTTTTTTATCTTATCATAGGCATAGCTTTAATACGGATATAAAATCCTTACATTTCATAAAATATAAAATAGATAGATAAATAAATTTAAATAATTCCAATGCCCCATATATATCCCCTGCATTCCAATTTTTTCGGAAATGTCGAACGGAAATTTAAAAGAAAATTGAAAATTAATATATATTTTTTAAGTGCAGAAACTTTATTTAAAGTCCAAAAATGGGCATTTTTTTTCAGTTTACAAGTTTTCACAGTAGTAAAACAATGCAATGTTTTATTTTTCTGTTTAGATAGTTGAAGTTTTATTAAGCAGAATAGACTAAGAATTAAAAAAGTATGATAACATTTATTTCAGTTTTTAAAAGTGAAATTAATTTTATCAAAGTTTTAATTCTTAGTCTACTACTTCAACTACATAAAACAAAATAATTTATTTTTTTATATTGTTAAAAGAAAAACTAACTGTATTTTCTGTTAACGCGGCATTTAATAATTTATGACTCCTCACTTATTAGAATTGAAATAAATATTAACAAAAACTGATAAATTATGATTGGAACTAGGGTTGATATAAATTGGCTTGGTATTATTTTCCATGCAAGGTTGAAAATCAATTAAAATCAAATTTAATGTAACATCTAAGAAAACAACTTGTTTAATATTAGCTTAATAACTACGCTAAAACCAAAAGATTTAAAAACACTATGTATTAATTTTTTAAGTTTATCAAACTAATATATCTATCTACAGTCATGAGACCATCATCTCTATAAAGCCTTATACTTTTCAAATCAATCTCTTCATATGCTGTGAGGTTGTACAAAAGAAACAGTCTAACTAAATCTGAAGACTGCCGAATCCAAAGATCCCATTGATATATCAAAATTATCAGCCGAATTCTTAATCCACTGTTCGTTTTCGTGTATTAATACTGATTTTCTACAGTTCAAAATAATGTTTATTTCGTCCTTCGAAATGTCAGAATAGATTTCGGTGAATTCTAATGCAAAATTGAAAAGGTCCTTAGAGAAAGATGGATAAAAATCGACAATATCAAATTGGATGAAATTACAATTATTTTTGTTTTCAAAGATCTTAAACCAGTCGATGAATTCAGAAGTACCTCTCCACTGCATAAGGTTAAGTTGATTTTTTATTTGAAAGTTGACACGTTCTAAGATCACTATACTTATTTACGAATCTCTCTCTATATAAACTTTAAGGGGTTAATGCGCATTGTAATATTGTATTCCTTCTGGGAAGGGGCGGCAAAATACGAGCTAGGCCACTGCTTTACACAAAGTGATAAAACCCGTAATATATACATGTGGTGGAAAGGCATATTTTCATAAGATAACGTCGACCACCCATATATCTTTTAGTGATTACAAGTTCAACAATTGAAGTTTTAACCCTAGAACACTAACCATCAATTAAAGTTACACCACTACTAACCATGAGTATATCATACCCGATTTTGAAAATATCAAAAAAATATTAAATATAAATCTTTATTTGAAATATTTTATATGTAGGCACTTCAAACTTTGTACTTTGAATTAACATTAATAGAAACTGAAAAACATATTTAGGTAAGAAAATCAGGTACTGAAAATTGTAATTAAAAATAGGAAAATTTGCGCTGGGTACTATATACCCATGGTTAGTGTTCTAGGTTTAAGGATGATCACTCAACTTAACAAAATGCATATTTTTTCTTACACACCTTTATTTCTACACATATTTGATGCAAACACGTGACATCTGATGGTCAAATTAAATTCTAAAAATATCAATAAGACGTTATGCTAAAAGATTTTCTACAATGAAGAGTAAAGTTAGGTGTGGCAAATAGAGACAATATAAAAATAAAACCGCGCCAGTGAGAGGGTTAAACCAGTATAATTGGCAGAGGAAAAAACATTAAAAAGCAAACTGAGATACAGTACTTCGCTTGAGTTTCTTCGTACATGTACAGTGTGGTTCGAAAGTCTTGTCACACCTAATATAATTATCTATTTCAAATGGCTAAAATGAAAAGTGATGGTGTTTATACAGACCTTCTCAATATGTGACAGCGTCAATGAAAGTGAATAAACTGAACCTAGTACGTGTTCTTTGTATTACTGTATTGCATGTTCTATTGTTCTCATTACTTTTTAATAAGGGGTGGCAATACTTTCAGACCACTCTGTAGATTTAATACTTAAGACTTAACTCAGAGTTAGATGTCATCTAAATAATGAATTAAAAACAAAATTATAAAAATCTACTCCAGTTTACAAGGCAACCTAAAAAGGAAACTATATCATTACCAGAATGTAAAAAGAGCAAATCAAAAGGAATTTTTGATTAAAATAAATAAGTATTACGGTACAACCTATGTCTCATAATAATTGGTACATTTTGGGCTTATATCGATTCACTCGCCATTACTGAGTGAATCCCAATTGGTTTCTTTTCCTTTGTTATTGTTATCCATTCACTTATATAGTAGTGAAAGTTGGACACTTTCCCCATGAGAGAAAACACTACAAGCAGCGGAAATTTCATGGATCAAGCGAGCAAGGATTGAAAAACATAATTGAAGACAAGAGAGATAGATGAAGGCTGTAAGTTGCTTACTCGACCAGTGTGAATAGAGAGCCTTTGCAACGGGAAGAAAATTGCAAAGAGTTACACGAAATAGGAAGTTGTGAAGATCCATGATCGCCTACATTCTGAAGCGACGCGGCAACGAGAAGAAAAAGAACAAGGACAAGAAGAAGAAGATCAAGAAGAAGAAGAGCAAGTAGAAGAAAGAAGGACAAAAGGAAGAACATGAAGAATAAAGAAGAATAAGAACAAAAAGGAGGGGAGAAAGAAGAAGAAGAAGAAGAAGAAGAAGAAGAAGAAGATCAACAACAACAGCAAAAAGAAGAGCAAAAAGAAAGAAGAAGAACGAAGAACAAAGACAAAAAGAAGAGGAGCAAGAAGAAAGAAAGAAATACTAATAAGAACGATGAACAAGAAAAAGAACAAGAAAAAGAAGACATTAGCAGTGTGTGTATGAGAAAAAGGACAAGAGAAATATTTAAATTGTTTGACATTTTTATGAGCAACAAGCTTTGAATTAAGTGTTGTCTTTCTCCTAGACTTTTATCTCGAATTTTATTTATTTGTGACGGGCTTCAGCGTTGGGCTTATCTCGGTTCATTTACCATTACTGAGGGAATCCGGATTGCTTCCTTTTTTCTCTTACTAAGCGAAATGCTAAGTTCAATTGTGTGCATGTGTATGTGTGTGAAAGACCAAGAATGAAATTTAAATTGTTTTTGACACTGTACGGACATTATTATTATAATAAATAAATAAATAAAAATAAAGCTTAAAATAATAATAATAATAATAATAATGAAAATTCTAAATAAAATGAAATAAAACAACATTAAACCTTTGTTTAAAATAAATTAATTAAAAATGTTCTCCCAGCATGCAACAGAAACTGTCCCTGCCAGAAAACGGA